TAAAGATTTTATTTATTTATTTGAGACAGAGAGAATGAGAGAGAGAGAGAGCACATGAGAGGGGGGAGGGTCAGAGGCAGAAGCAGGCTCCCTGCCGAGCAGGGAGCCCGATGCGGGACTCGATCCCCGGACTCCAGGATCATGACCTGAGCCGAAGGCAGTCGCTTAACCAACTGAGCCACCCAGGCGCCCCAACTCTGCCATTTTCTTATTTGGTGGGCTTCTGGTACTGGTATTCAGTTTCTTTCTTTCTTTTTTTTTGTTTAAGATTTTATTTATTTATTCGTGAGAGACAGACAGGGAGAGAGAGGCAGAGGGAGAAGCAGGCTCCCCACAGAGCAGGGAGCCCGATCCCAGGACCCTGGGATCATGACCTGAGCCGAAGGCAGACGCTTAACCGACTGAGCCACCCAGGCGTCCCATGGTATTCTGTTTCTTTTCAGTCATCCTTATCAGCCGTGTATGTCCATTTAGTGAGGTTGGTTTTGTTAAAGGACATAATGCAGTATCCATAAATGCGTTTGATTATCATAATTAACGAAAATACACAGAAAGTTTAAAAAAAAGTGAGGTGCCCCCTTCAGCCTCTAGGGGGCTGAAGAGCCGGCTTTGCATTCTTGGATACCCCTCCCTCAGAATTAGGCTGGAGACTGGACTATGAAGGGCCATTCACACCCCCCATATGTTAAGTTGTAATACTTAATTTCTTATGTTTTAGATAAGGAGAAATGGAAATTCTCATATTGTCTTCCCACACCCCACTCTGAATTTCTTTCAAGAAATGGATCAGTTGAGGGGCACGTGGGTAGCTCAGTCAGTTGAGCATGGCGCTCTCAATCTCTGCTCAGGTCTTGATCTCAGGGTCCTGAGTTCAAGCCCCATACTGGGCTCCAGGCTGGGTGTGGAACCTACTTAAAGAGAGAGAGAGAGAGAGCTTTCTGCATCCCCAAATTGGAGGCCATAGAAATGTTTATCCAGCTGTCTGCTTTTCTCTGGACAGAATAGGAGGAAGACTTAATCTAGGGTCCCTGGGTAGAACTTTATTTCAGTATAATTGGTTTCTTTCATAATCCCATGTATTTTATCTTATACATTTAACACTTATTCTGATAAGGGGTCCATGCACACAAAAAAGTTAAAAGCCCTTGAAGTAGGGTCTTCCCCACCTCTGCACTTCTCAATATCCTCTACAACAAATTGGCTATCTTTTTAACTTTTGCTTTAGTTTTCTCTCTCACTTAGTGTTTGTTGTTCACAAAGAAATAAAAGTCAGATTTTTTTTCTCTTTCACACATCCCAGGTGCCCCTTGTATGTGATGACAAGCAGCCCTGCAAATTCATAGAGAGCAGCAGAGGCGTGATGGCATGGCTCGATGTACCCACGACTTGCTTGCCACACCAATAAGCCTTGGGTCACACAGCATCTGGATTCTTGCATTGCCAACATGGCAGACAGCTACATTGCTTTGCCCACAGTAGCCTGGCTAATCTCTGGACACTTATTCTCTGAGAGTTTATTCTTTCAGTAGATGTGCACCCAGTCCCTGTGATGGGCTGATGCTGTGCTGGGTACCGGGACGTGGAAAAAGGAGAGTCTGCCTCTGCCTCTCAGGAACCCAGCGGGGTGAAAGGAATGTCAAAGCTAGACAGCTGTGACCTTGTAAGTTCCAGGGGATAGCCAAGGCGAGCACAGGGCTGCAGAGTAAGCACTGCACAGCATCCTGGAGTAATACTACTACTATTATTGTTTTTATTTTGGGTCTTGGCCCATCCCATAGCACATTCTTTTTTTAAAAAAATTTATGGGGGCGCCTGGGTGGCTCAGTCGTTAAGCGTCTGCCTTTCGGCTCAGGTCATGATCTCAGGGTCCTGGGATCGAGCCCCGCATCGGGCTCCCTGCTCAGCGGAAAGCCTACTTCTCCCTCTCCCACTCTTCCTGCTTGTGTTCCCTCTCTCACTGTCTCTCTCTCTCTCTGTCAAAAAATAAATCTTTACAAAAAATTTTTTTTAATTTATTTATCTTTTTAAGTAAGCTCAATGTGGGGCTTGAACTCAGGACCCTGAGATCACGAGACACATGCTCTAAGGGGTGCCTGGGTGGCTCAGTCAGTGAAGCGTGTGACTTGTGATCTTGGGGTTGTGAGTTTGAGCCCCATGCTGCGTGTAGAGTTTACTTTAAATAAATAAATAAAATCTTTTTTTTAAAAGATTTTATTTATTTGATAGAGCACAAGCAAGGGGAGTGGCAGGCTGAGGGAGAGGGAGAAGCAGACCCCCTGCAGAGCAGGGAGACTGATGCGGGGCTCGATCCCAGGACCCCGGGATCATGACCTGAGCCGAAGGCAGACGCTTAACAACTGAGCCACCCAGGCGCCCCTAAATTAATAAATAAATAGTCTTAAAAAAAAAAAAAAAGTCAGATGCTCTACTGACCAAGCCAGCTAGGGGCCCCTGGAGTATTATTTTTATATAAAGTTGGGGAAGGGACTTTTTTTTTTGTATAAAACAAGCAAGGATCTTTATAGAGTAGGTTTCTTTTCTTTTTTTTAAAGATTTCATTTATTTATTTATTGGGAGAGAGACAGAGAACACAGCAGAGGGAGGGGCAGAGGCAGAGGGAGAAGCAGGCTCACTGCCAAGCAAGGAGCCGGATGCGGAACTCGATCCCAGGACGCTGGGATTGTGACCCGAGCCGAAGGCAGATGCTTAACCAGCTGAGCCACCCAGGTGTCCCTAGAGTAGGTTTCAGTGTGAATTTTTTGAGCTGAACTAGGTGTCGAAGAGCAGAGCCTAGCACAGAATACATGAATACATGCTCAATTTTAGCAAAATGGAATTGTTAAAAAAAAGAATGGAATTGCTCAGAGAACTTTTGGCTGTTTAGCAATAGTAAAAGGAACTCAAACTGGCTTCACCACCACAGCAAAAAATACACGCTCAGTGAAGGCCTGTTGAATGGCGCTCACACTGACCCCCACCGTCCCCGCAGGCACCGCCTGCTAGCCACCCCGTCTGTCCATTGCCCTCCCACCTCTAGCTCTGCCTCGGCTGTCCTCTGCTCCTTCCAGCAAGATGTTCTTAACTGCTTGTCCTCCTCCTGCTACCAGGAGGCCGCTGCTGCTGCGATTGCCCCCGTTATGCCAGAGGAACCTGATGTCCCTGCTGATGGCTGTCCGGCCATCGCTGCCCGAGAGTGGCCTACTCCCGGTGCTGCAGGTTGCACAACAAGCCCAGAGCCGAGGCGCCGACGCCTGGCTCCGGGCCCTGGGGCAGTTGCTGCAGAGGGACCTGAGCGCAGGGGTAGCGATTGAGGGAGCGTCCCCGCTGTCTACACACTGCCGGAGACAGCTCCAGGGCCTGTGTGGGCGGCTGCGCCAGGGAGGCAGGGGGCTGAAGTTAGCCCAGGCTCCCGTTCCCGAAGAGGAAGAAGAGGAGAAGAAGGAGGACGAGGACTCCCCGTGGCCTGGGAAACGCAGAAAGGGGCCAGAGGAAGAGCCTGCCAGTCCTGAGGGCCAGAGGGCCCCCAAAAGGTTCCGACGTTTGGAAAGGGAAGGGGAAGAAGGTCAGGAGGAGGAGAGACGTGAATCTGAATCTTTGGAGACCCAGGCAGATGGAGGAGGTGCCTCACCCATTAAGAACCAGCCTGTCAGAGCCGAGCCCAGGGAAGCTGGTCAGAGTCTGGAGGAGGCTCAGGGCCTGGCCGAGAATTTGGAGTTGCCCAAAGCTGTCCAGGTACTAGAGTGGGGAGGCTGGGTTTAGAGTGATCCTCCAGGAGTGGGGGGGTTTATCCAGGGCAAAAGCTGGTTGGGAGACTATTTCCCAACTGGGATAACGAGTCCACGGAGCAGGGGTGGGGTTAAAGGAATAGTCTCTGCTCCACAGACTCTGAGGAGGGGGTGGTGAGGAAGTTTTGGAAAGGGAGGATCCTTTGGCCTTAATGTTCTATAACACGAGGTTAAAGGATTGCCAGGCAAGAAGAGAAGGTCCAGAACTGTCCTGTGGAGGGTGTGGAATCGTGCCAGCCTCCAGCCAGTCCTCCCAACCCATTAAGGTGGGTGCAGAGAGGACAAGTCTAGGCGGCTGCATTTCCACGGGCCTTGTTGACTTTGAGTTCTTAAGCACCTCTCAAGGTTTAGGCTTCGTGTTCTTGACTCTTGAATCATCCTTGCCTGCTAGCTCCCGCTGATGCGGGGCCTTCTTGGGAGAGGGGGCTAGGACTGGGCCTGGGGCCACACCGTGTTGGTAGGGACTTGGCAGTGACTGGGCTCTCCTCTGCAGGACCAGCTTCCCAGGCTGCAGCAGCTGCTCAAGACCTTCGGGGAGGTACCTGGCCCCCGCTCACCATTGCCCCTCATCCACCTGCCGCCTAGACCTCAGCCCTGCCCAGGGAAGCACAGGCTGTTTGGACAGTGGGGGGTCAGAGTGGGGGTCTGAGGACAGTCACTGCAGGGGCTTGTCTTGGCCCAAAGGACAGATATGTCATCTAACCCCAGACAAGTCCCTCCTCTGGTAGCATCCAGGCTCCTCATCCACCCACGCTGCCAGACAAAGGGGTGGTCTCTGACTCGTCACCAAGGGCTCTGCCAGCGCAAACATGGGATTTGCCTTTCCAGGGGTTGGAGGGCGCCCCCCCGCCCGAGCTGCAGCTTCTCCACGAATGCAATCCCAGCCAGGTGAGTCCAGAAAGACTGCCTGGCCCTGAGGGTACGTCCCCTCTCCCCAGCCTTTTTCCATTTAAGTCTGTGTTTCCTTGCCTCACGTGGGAATGGGGGGAGGGGATTTTGTTGGCGTTTTTGGCCCCTTGGGTCGGGGTCACCCTGTGTGCCCTCTTTTAGCCCTTGGATCCTCACCCCGGGGGTAGCTCTCCCTGCCTCACCTTACCTTGGAGTGTCCTTGCCCTGCCCATTCTGCTGCCCGGTCGGCTTGAGACAGCCTAGCAGGGGCAGACTGAGTGCGTCTGTGTCGTCCCTCCTACTTGGCAGATGGACCTGCTGTGTGCCCAGCTGCAGCTCCCGCAGCTCTCGGACCCAGCTCTCCTGCAGTTCTGCACCTGGCTCCTGTCCGTTTCACCAGATCTTAGCCTTAGCAATGCGACCGTTCTGACCAAGAGCCTCTTCCTTAGACGGGTAGGTGCGTTGCGATACACTTGGCATGCTAGGGACTATGGGGGAGAGAATCTGAGCCCTCAGAAGGGTGGTGCTTGGGAGAGCAGGTTCCCAACCTTGTAAGGCGTCTGGCCAGTCGAGGCAGCCTGGGGCAAGGGAAGGGCATGAACCTCCAGGCCAGCTATCCACACGGCATCAAATTCCTCCTTGTCGGGCCCCAGACCTTCCCAGAAGCTGAAGGGATTTCGGAGCTGGGGAAGGAAGCTTTGTATCTTTTCCAATGGGGGAATCCATGTGAGTTCTAGATAAAAGAACTTATGTTTTTTTCTTTGTAACATGTATCACTATCTTAAATACATGTCTGGTAAACATTTATTAAAGGGAAGAAGAAACGAATGGATTAATATTTTCCTTCCCGTTGGCTGTAGATTCTCTCCCTGACTTCCTCAGCCTCCCGCCTGCTCATGACTGCCCTGACCTCCTTCTGTGCCAAGTATGCCTATCCTGTCTGGAAAGCCCTTCTTGGCCCCGTGCTCCAGGCCCCAGGAACAGGTAATTCTGGAACCAGCCCCAGGCCTGGTAGCTCTGCCCTCTCGGTTCCCAGCACCCTTCACTCCAGGGGACCCTGGCAGTTGTGTATTCAGTCAGTAAAGATACCTTGCTTCCCTGCCGATGCCCCCCTATAATGAGCCAGGCGTTCTGTTCCATCCTCTCCTGCCATTTGCCCCCAGACCTCCCCCCTCTGCTGTCCCCTCCCCAGGTCCAGCTCAAACAGAGTTACTGTGTTGCCTTCTGAGGGATGAGGCCCTGGAGCCAGACATGCAGCTTCTAATGCTGGGGTGAGTGTACAGGCCCCTACTCCCAGCCCCTCGCACTGGCCCAGCCTGCTCCTGGCATTCTGGAGCTGGAGCCGCCTGGGTAGCGGGTCCTGTGCCTGAAAGACGGGCAGTGGCCCAGCGGATGCCCCTCTCGCTGTGGCCCGAGCCTGGCTTGTGCCTTCCCCCCGTGGCCCTGTGCAAGTTGCCATCCCAGGACCCTGCCCAGGTGGCGCCGGGTTCCAGGCTTCCGGGCCAGGTGCCTTGGGGAGCACAGGGGAGAGGCTGGTGGTCGCCCCTCTGGAGCAGTTCACAGCGTAGCTGGAGCATGGTTAAGAGTTCCGGCTCTGGAGCCAGGCGGACAGGATTTCGAATCTCAGCCTTGCCCTGGGTCAATTCAAACAGCTTTCTCCATGTCTCTGAGCCTCTGTTTCCTCATATGAAAAATGGGGATGGGGGCGCCTGGGTGGCTCAGTCGTTAAGCGTCTGCTTTCGGCTCAGGTCATGATCCCAGGGTCCTGGGATCGAGCCCCGCATTGGACTCCCTGCTTGGCGGGAAGCCTGCTTCTCCCTCTCCCACTCCCCCTGCTTGTGTTCCTGCTCTCGCTGTGTCTCTGTCAAATAAATAAAATATTAAAAAAAAAAAGAAAAATGGGGATGATGTATACTCGGTAGGACTTTTCTAGATATTAAATGTGATAATGTATATAGACCTTAGCACAGTACTTGGCCCCGAGTTGGTGCTCAAAAATTGTTATTAAATTGGTGTTCAATTTGGGTATGAAAACTGGGGAGTCAAGATCCAGACACGTAGAAACAAATGAGTAGCTAAGAGCCCACTGACACTAAAGTGAACTATAAAATGCTGACTCTCACGTGAGAAGGGGACAGTCTGAACAGTAACGTCAGCCACCACTGATCGAGTCCTTTCTCTGTGCGTTAGAGTCATCCTCTCAGTTAGTCTTCACCCAGTGCTGTGAGGTGGGTGCCGTGGCCGCCCTAGAGATGGAAAACCTGAAGCCCAGGGCTGTTAAGGGACGTGGGCCAAAGGTCACAGAGCCAGCAAGTGAGAAAGCCTGGGATCAGACTCAAGGCCGTGCAGCCAGGAGGCCACACTGCTCCCGGGGGTGACACGCTCCCTTTCCACATGAGTGAAGGACTGCCCTAGCCCAGGAAGCACAGCTGGAGTGGACATCCCCATGGGCTGGGCTCTGCCCTCTAGAAAGCCTTATGGACCTCTCACTGCGCCATCCTCCTCTTCCCTGGGTCACCCTCACCTTCTGTACTCACGATGCACTCTCCACTCCTGCTTGCTTTTCAGGAAACCTTGGTGCACCTTACACCAAATCCTTCGTGGTCTGCCCCAGGAGTCTTGGGTTGTAGCCTTCCCAGCACCGAGTGTGGGCTGGCTACTGGGCGGCCGCCAACATGGGTCGGGGGGGTGGGGGGCTCTGACTACTTGCTCTGTTGGCTGGGGGATCTTGGCTGTCTCCGGGGCCTTGCCCTGCCTTGGGGGTAGGAGCAGTAGATACCCAGATGTGGGCTGTCCTCAGCGGGACCTGTGGTTTTTGTAGACGGATCTTGGAGCTGCCCTGGAAAGAGGACACTTTCTTGGTGTTGCAGTCACTGCTGGAGCGGCGGGTGAGCAGGCTGCCTTGGGGAAGGGTGGGTGAGGAAGCACCGCGGTGCTGTGGACGGGCGTGGGCCTCCTGGGTTTCTGGTCCCTCTGGGGATGGAGGCAAGCAGAACAGCTGCCCTGCAGCAAGCTGGGCCGTGACAGCGGGTGAGTCCTCGGGCTTGAAAGGCTGGCAGCCGAGAGCAGACTGCGTGGTAGAGCCCAGCTCTGCCGCTTCCTAGCTGCGTGGCCTTGGGGAGGGACTTGTGTGTGTGTGTGAAATTTTATTTCATTTATTTTATTTTTATTTATTTTTATTTTATTTTATTTTAGTTTAGTTTAGTTGAGAGAGAGAGAGCAAGTGAATGCAGGAGGGAGAGGGAGAGAGAATCTGAAGCCGACTCCATGCTGAGCACGAAGCCTGACAGGGGGCTCGATCCCATAATCCTGGGATCATGACCTGAACAGAATTAAGAGTCAGATGCTTAACTGACTGAGCCACCCAGGCGCCCCGAATTTAATTTTATTTTTGAGTAAATAAATAATAAACATTTTCACAATTTTTAAAAAAGATTTTATTTATTTGAGAGAGAGAGACAGAGATAGCACGAGTCGGGAAGAGAGGGAGAAGCAAACTCCCCGCGGAGCAGGGAGCCTGACGCGGGGCTCGATCCCAGCTCGATCCCAGGACCTTGGGATCATGATCTGAGCTGAAGGCAGACACTTAATCAACTGAGCCACCCAGGTGCCCCTCACGAATTTTTTTTTTTAAGATTTTACTTATTTATTTGAGAGAGAGAGAGAGAGAGTGCATATGTGTGAGTGGGGGCAGGGGCTGAGGAAGAGGGAGGGCGAGAATCCCAAGCGGATTCCCCACTCAGTGCAGAGCCCTACCCAGGGCTCAGTCCCATGACCCTGAGATCATAACCTGAGCCGAAACCAAGAGTCAGATGATTAACCGACTGAGGCACCCAAGCGCCTCTATGTTCACAAATTTTAAAGCTCAAAGGATATAGTGAAAAATCCTGCCCATCCAGACTCCCCTCTCCAGGGCTAGTCAGCATTAGTAGTTTCAGGGGAACTCTCCCAGAGATGCTTTTATATACAAGGACACGTGTTTAAGGTGACTTTTTGCCTACTTTTTTGCATAAATGACAACACACCGAGCTCAGGGCTCTACTTCGCTTTTTTTTTCTTTTTTTTTTAAAGATTTTATTTATTTATTTGACAGAGAGAGACACAGCGAGAGAGGGAACACAAGCAGGGGGAGTGGGAGAGGGAGAAGCAGGCTCCCCTCAGAGCAGGGAGCCCGATGCGGGACTCGATCCCAGGACCCTGGGATCATGACCTGAGCTGAAGGCAGTCGCTTAACCAACTGAGCCACCCAGGCGCCCATCTACTTCGCTTTTTTAACTTACAGTATATTTTGGCAATTTTGCCATATGACTACCTAAAGTTCCACCTCATTTGTTTATAACTTAGGTAGCTGACCTAACCTCTTTATGCCTCAGTTTTCCCATCTACAAAAGGGGAGTGATGATAGTATGTACCACACAAGGCCAGGGTGAGGTCAAAATGGTCATTGGTGTAAAATGCTCAGAACAGTGCCTGATGCATAACAAGTATTTATTAAATTATTATTAAGGAGAGCTATTGTTGTTATGCTGGCTGTACCCTGGGGACTCCTCAGCCCTTTATATCTTCAATCACCAAGTGAGGCCGAGACCTGTGTGCCAGGCTTTATGTGCATTATCTCATTTAATTCTTTACCGTCTTTAGCGTTAGATATCATGAGCGCCATTTTTACAGATGCAGAAACTGAGGCTTTGTTTGGTTATGTGACCTGTCCAGGGTTACTTAGTTAGAAAGTGGTAGAGGTCGGAATTGAATCCAGGGCCCTTTCTTCTCTTGTCTCCTCTCCCAATGTGCGCAGGTGGAGATGACCCCTGAGAAGTTCAGTGTGTTGATGGAGAAGCTCTGTAAAGAGGGGCCAGCAGCCACCACGTCTGTGGCCTATGCCAAGCTCATGCTGACGGTGATGACCAAGTACCAGGCCAATGTGAGTATTGGTAGGGCCATGAGGGCTGGTGCTGCTGCTCTGAGTATGCCACGAGCGGGTACTTCTACATGTTTGCCAGGGAAGACACCCTGAGTGTTAACCAGGGAAGCTACAAGTTCAAGCCTCGGACTGGGTCACGAGACTGCTTAGGAGTTCGTTCATCCAGCCCACACTGCTGTGAGCCAGATGCTGTGTGGGGCCCTGAGGAATCAACAGTGTCCATAACACAGTCCCTGTCCTTGACTTGACACTCTCCACTGGTGCCAGGCTAGTGAGGTGGGAGAGAGATGATAACCAGATCAGCATCATATCTGGAAGGAGCCAGGCAAGAGGTGTGTGCGGGGCATTTGGTTGCAGAGGGGGAGGAGGCAACTAAACCTTGTTTGTGGTTGGGAGTTCGGACAGGCTGCTCAGCTCTGAAAGGGTGAGTGGTGGCCAAGGGCCAAGACTGAGGAAAGGGCATTTCAGGCCAAGGAAACTGTATAAGCGATGAGCATCCAAGGGGATCTACAGGTAGTAGCTGAGGCCTAAAAACATGAGAGTGGATGGTGGGAGGGGTGAGATTAGAGGTCAGAGTTAAAACACTGAGAGCTAATACCACAGAGCCCCTGCTACGGCTTGGGCACAGTTCGAAGCCCTTTGCTTATGTTAACCTGCTAGTTTATTCCGTGTGTTGGCCCAATGATAAAATACTATTATTAACTCCATTTTATAGATGATAAGTTGAAACCCAGAAAGATTAAAGTGACCTGCCCAAGGTCCCATGGCCAGGCCATGTTAGCATCCTATGGAAGACCCTGTAGGTTATGATGAGGAGCATGGACTTTTATCTTGAAGGTCAGGTATCCTTGGCTGTTGGCTCTTTACCTTTTTTGGGGAGTCACAGTCCCATTTGATGACTTGATGAAAGCTATAGATCCTCCCAGAAAAATGAAAATCTGAACACACATCTTATGCGCAGTTTCAGGAGGCTCCTGGATCCTCTGGAGACCCTGTAGATCCTGGAAGAAGGGACTGCAATATGAGACATCGGTAGTTATCCCAGGGAACCGCTGAAGCTTGAGTGACTTGGTCAGATTTGCATTTTATAAAGGAGTCTCTGGCATCTATAAGGAGTGGAGACTGGAGAGAAGATACATGGCAGAGACCTGTCAGGAGGTTGTAGTGGCAGGTCAGGGAAGAAATAGCAGGCCCCAGAAGGAATGTGGCAGCCACAACAGAGTATCTCTGACCCTCAGTTTTCTCATCTGTATAATGGGAGGGTTGTGCAGATTACATGAAGTTATGTTTATAAAGTGTTGCTACGTAGTAAGCACCCAATAATTGTCATCTGTTATTAGTGTGGCTGACTTAGTAAGTTGTACAGTTAATATTTGACCCCAGGTCCACTTGAACACAAAGACCTTGTATAATCATGGTGAAGTAAAAGTAATGCGTTTAGATATCTCCTCCATTGTCCTTGTGTCCTGATTCCTCTCTCTTTCCTTCTGAACAGTGCCATGGGGCAGAGGGGAAAGGGTTGCTGGAGTCCTGATATGATTCTTCCTTCTCCCCAGATCACTGAGATCCAGAGGCAGGGCCTGGCCACAGCCCTAGAGCTCAACACCACTTTCCTGAGGAAGTCCCTGAAGGCCGCCCTGAGACATCTGGCCCCCTGACCATGCACTAAGGGACCACACTCCTGGAGCTCCCTCACCAGCTGCCTGAAGGATACTTCTGCCCTCAGCACCTCACCCTGACCCCTTGCCTGGGGGTAAAGGCTGAGGTCCGCTGCCTCCCTGCTCCAGGACGCAGAGAGGACATCATGGCCTCCCAGCCAGCAGGGAAGGTCCTGGGCTAAGCAGCCTTGATGAGCTTTATTTCCAAGGGATGCTGACCTTGGGCTCACTCCTTGTCATTTTTACTTCAGACTGTGGGGACAGAAACTTTCAGAAAGGCCTCAGTAGGGTCAGAGCAGACCTAGGTAGATGAATGATGCTTCAGGATCCCTGAGGTGACCTGTGTCCTCAGCACAAATATCTTGCACCCAAGTGTATGTTATGACCCTCTGTGTTCTGACTTGGATAATAATTTATTAAAAAGCAGGTATTTAATAAAAAGCAGGAAGTTTTAATATTTTCTTCGAAGCAGTGTCTGCCTTCCTATGAACTCTGGGTATTTGTTGAAAACCAATAGACACCACCACCACCCACCCTACTCAGTGACAAGGGGCATCTTTTTCCTGGTGAAGGTGACAAAGTTCTCAAGTTCATTCATTCATGTTCTTGGCGATGATGTGTGATGCCACTCCGCTCAGCCCTATCAGAGCCGTCTCTTGAGTAGGTGAAGTGTGCACTGACCCCTGGGGAATGGGGCCTTGAAGGTGGGTGCAGCTGTCTGGAGTTGGAGAAGGTTTGTTCATAGTAAACACTTAACTGGGTAGGTGTGATTCAATCAACTATCAACTACCTTCCCAGCTCTTCCCCCACTGCAGGCTTCGAGGGGCCGGGAACAGAACTTTCATGACATTTCCCTTCTCATGACTTCTCTGAAACCATGAGCCCTAGAGCAAGATGATGAGGGAGAGGTCAGGAGTAAAGCCTGCTTTTGTGACCCGAAGCAGGGGCGGTGGGAGGAAAAGGGTGGAGGGACAAACATGTGGGAACTGCACGCTCTCAGCGGCCATCACGCTGCGGTGCCCAGGACCGGCCTCTTAAGTGGCCGGCAGTAGCTGGCGCGAATGGGGATATTCTCCGCGTGCCACGGGGCGCCCGGGACCGCCGCACCTCCTCGCCTTCGAGCCAGTCTAAGTTGTGCAACGCGCGGCAGCGCCCTCTAGCGGCAGCAGACGGCGGCGCTCCCCGGGATTCAGCGACCCGGCCGCGCTCGGGAGGAAGCTACAGGAAAAGGCATCTCGCGAGAACAAGAGCCTTATTTGAGCGCATGCGCGAACTCCATTGCTTTCTTTTTCGGTTACTGCGGCGCGCAGAACCATGAGGTGAGTGGCGCTCAGGGAGCCATCCGCCCCCATCCGCGATTCCTGGCACCCTGGTAGGATGGGAAACTTGCGGGCTGAATTGGAGGTGGTCTTTGGCCCTGTTTCGCTCAGGGGCATGCGTCGCCGGGCGTCGTCCTGCAGTCCTAGGCCCCCAGTAGGGTATCTCTTCCTCGGGGCTTGTCGTTGTCGCGCCCAATCGCCCGACGTGGTGTCCGGAATCCCCTCGGGTGGGGTGCGTCTGGAGGCCCGAGGCTTCCGACCACGCCGAAGCCTCCAGGTGCCGAGCGCTCGTCTTGCGTCTCTCCCGCAGCAGCAAAGTCTCCCGCGACACCCTGTACGAGGCGGTGCGGGAAGTTCTGCACGGGAACCAGCGCAAGCGCCGGAAGTAAGCCCGGGCTCGGGGGGAGGGCGGCGGCGTGCAGGCCGCGGGCGGCCGCCTGACTCTGTCGCCTTCTCTAAGGTTTTTGGAGACGGTGGAGCTGCAGATCAGCCTGAAGAACTATGACCCTCAGAAGGACAAACGCTTCTCGGGCACCGTCAGGTTGGCACCGCTCTGACCCCACCCAGCCCTCCGTGCGCCCCCGTGCCCGTCGCCACCCTCCAGGCTCCTGTTGAGCTTGAGACGGGCGGGCGCGGGTGGCACGGACGCGCCTGGGTCGTTCAGACCCCTTGCCCCGGGCAGGCGTGGCTGGACGGACCCCCACCCTGGGTCTTAAAATAAGAGGGGAGGCGTGGGGAGGCCTTGGCCGAGCCCGCCGGCTAGTTTGAGAAGCCAGACTAGCTGTTGGTGAATGTGGACGTTCTGGGTAAGGCTCCGTGGCTGCAGCGGCCCCAGACCCCTTCACCTGCTTTCGGAACCCCAGGCTGGGCTTGACCTGTTCTGTCCCCCAAAACGCAGGCTTAAGTCCACTCCCCGCCCCAAGTTCTCCGTATGTGTTTTGGGGGATCAGCAGCACTGTGATGAGGCCAAGGCAGTGGATATTCCCCACATGGACACTGAGGCAATAAAGAAACTCAACAAGAATAAGAAATTAGTCAAGAAACTGGGTGAGTGTGCCTTAGGGTGGTTTTGTATTTGGGCAGACAGTTGTCATGGGAGAGGTAGAAAAGTGGCAGTACTGCCATCTGGATTTTAAAATGATGGAAGAGGGTGCAGAGAATCATGATGGGAAAAGATTGCTGTGGTGGGTTAACTTGAGTGATAGTTTTTAACCTTTTAAAGATTGCTTTTTAGATTTGCTTTGAGGATTCTTCTAAACAGGTGAGCTCCCCTAAGTTGACCAGTCAGGTGCTGGTATGTTCTGAAATAGGATGTCTACTTAAAGCTCTCTCTGTTTCTTACTTTTTTCCATCTTTATCCTATGTGGTGGAAGCATTTCACAGATAGGAAACTGGTACCCTGGTTGTCCTGTAACTAGGAAGTAGGCAGGCAGGATTTGAACTCAAGCAGTCTTAACCAATGTGTGCATTTACTATTGGAACATGAGGAGAGCGGGTCAGCCTGGGCTTCTGACACCAGGTTTCATGTGAATGTTGGGCCAGTAAAAGTTCAGGGGATAGAGATAAGCTGGAATGAGGAGAGGATTAAAAAGACTTGGTACGTGGAGAAGAGGAGTAGAGTGTGGTGGTTAGAGGCCACTCTTGTGGTTGGTTGACGGAACTCTGTTTGGAGCTTGCCTTCGAGAGGCCAGATTCTAAGCATCCAATGGCTTCTTTTTACCAGCCAAGAAGTATGATGCCTTTTTGGCTTCAGAGTCTCTGATCAAGCAGATCCCACGAATCCTGGGCCCAGGCCTGAATAAGGCTGGCAAGTTCCCTTCCTTGCTGACCCACAATGAGAACATGGTGGC